CTTATTATGCGAAATACACTCATTCAATATCTCGCCATATTAACAGTGCGGATAACACCGTTCCATTCTAAATGGGAATGACATGTCTTAATAATGTTTTAATTAAAGATTCTGAACTTTAATTAAATTCATTATGAACAATTACTTTTGATTATTATCCTTAAACATTATCTTCTCGCATACAACACTTATATACCATGTTTAAGGTTACATAAATAATCAAGGAATTTTATTTGATATTCATAAAATATTCATAAATATATGCACATAAAATGATGAATAAACTCTTTTATTAAATAAATAATAAATATCCTTTTACATCTCATGCTTCTAGGACACTATTCCCAACAATAGCAAGATCCGGTCGACCGATGCGGTCGACCGGTGGAGAACGCCAGTTCGTGAAAGCTCGCGGAAATCAGTTCAAAGACCTGTAAATCGAGTTCCAATTCACAAAATCTCAAAGGAGAACCACTAGATCCGGGTTCTAGGTACTAAAATAAGTTCAAAGAACCCAAGATCTCAAATTTCTACCCTAGTTTTACTCAAAATCCATCAAAATCCGTTTTGAACCAAAAATAAGTTTTGAAATCCGAAAAACATAGATTCAAGAGAGGTTTTTTCAGTAATCTTACCTCGAATCCTTCTCTTGACGTTGAAAACTCTTTGAAATCACTCTTGGTTCGAATCTGATTTTGATTTGAGACACAAATGGGAGAGAGAGAGGGAGAGAGAGAGAGCACAGAAGTGTGTGAGAAAGAGAGAGAAACGCACGGGAAAGAAAAAGAAACGGAAAGAAAAGAAAGGAAAAAGAAAAACAAAGAAAAGAAAAAAGAAAAGAAAAGAAAATGACATGTGTAAAATATAACAGTCCAGAAATGCGCCCATACACACTTCTGGATTAAATAAATTACTGTGAATAATTTAAATACCTTGGAATTATTTAAACTCAATTAATTAAATCAGATTAGGCACACTAATAATCTCAATTACCTTAATTAATCTCAATTAATTCTTCAGGGTGTTACAGCTCCACCCCCCTTAGGCAATTTCGTCCCCGAAATTAAAGCTCACCTCAAAGTGCAAACAGATGCGGATAACGTTCCTGCATCGTCGTTTCAAGCTCCCATGTTGCTTCCTCAACACCATGGTGCTGCTACAGCACTTTCACTAACGGGATCTCACGATGACGCAAACTCTTCATCTTCCGGTCAATAATCTGGACCGGTACCTCATCGTACATCGTGTCGTCCTGTATCGGAACGTCATACCATTGCACTACAGCTTCCGGATCAGGTTGACATTTCCAGAGCATGGAGACATGGAACACGTCATGCACATGAGATAATTCAGGCGGCAGGGCAAGACGATACGCCACAATACCGACTCGCTGCACGATCGGGAATGGTCCAATATACCTTGGCGCAAGCTTCCCTTTCACACCAAACCGAGTAACTCCTTTACGTGGGGAAACCTTCAACAGAACAAAGTCACCTTCTTGGAATTCCAAAGGCCTACGCCTTCTGTCAGCATAGCTCTTCTGTCGACTTTGAGCTGACAACAGGCGTTCTCGAATCACAGCTATCTTCTCGTCATTCTCTTGAATGACATCCGGTCCAGTTGTAAGTCTATCCTCCGGTTCCAACCAACAAACAGGTGACCTACAAGGACGACCATACAACGCCTCGAACGGTGCCATACCGATACTAGCCTGATAGCTGTTATTGTAAGCGAACTCAGCTAGATGCAGGTATTTCTTCCAGTTTCCACCAAATTCCAGAATACAAGCACGAAGCATATCCTCCAGAATCTGAATAACTCTTTCAGATTGTCCATCCGTCTGGGGATGAAATGCAGTGCTAAAATTCAGATCTGTTCCCATGGCTTCTTGGAAACTCCTCCAATACCTTGCATTGAAACGCGTATCACGATCTGACGTGATAGACAATGGCACTCCGTGTAACCTT